AGGCTGCCGGCCACCCTCCAAGCCTAGGAGGGTCGCCTGGGCTCCCTGTCACCCGGTGGGAGGCCCTGGTGGCCTCTGAACATGGAACAGGGTGGTCCCCAGGGAAAGGGGAGGGCCCAGGACCCTGTGCCCTGGTACTGGGCCAGCCATGGCCCACAGCAGCATGCCGGGCTGCGCGGGGCCGCCGGCCGGAGACCCGGGCCCGCGGGTGCAGCCAGCCGCGCTCACCCCGCCCCCGCCGCCGCGCCCTGGGGCTCCCAGAGCCGGGGCCCCGACAGCTACATCCCGCGCCCCATTGTCGGGGCTTTCTGCAGCCTGGCGACTCCGGCCTCCCTCCCCACCGACGCGCGGCAGGGGGGCTCCGTCCCCAGCAGCCTGGGGCCACCCGCCTCCGCCCGCCTCCCTGCGCGCGCCCCTGCCCACGAAGCCTTTTTCCTGTAATGGGCCTGGGGAGTGGGAGGTCCAGGTGGAAGGGGGCCTCCCTTCCCCTTCCTGCCCTGGGGTGCCCCGCTGCGCCCCCTCCAGTCCTGCCTCCAGGATGAAGCCCCTAAGAGCCGCCCTGAGCCCGCAGGGGTCCTGGGTCTCCCTCCACCGCCAGCGCCTTGCACAGCACCATGGGGACCCCATGGAAACATGCCCCTCCGTGGAGCTCAGCCTGGCTCACCTGGGCACCCCCGTCCTGCGGCCACCCCGGGCTTCTCCGGAGTCCCCACCTCAGCCCACTGTAGTCAGCCTCCTGCTGCTGAAGGTGGGGCCATGTCCCTGCTGCCTGGCCGCCGTTCTGCCTTCTTCCCTCAGCCCAGTCTCCACTGGAGGGGCCACAGCAGGCGCCTGGCCGTCCTGGGGCCTGGGGTGCAGGGGCTCCTCGCCTGAGCCGGGCAGCAGCCCTGACCAAAGCTCTCATTTCTGCTTCCGTTTTGGGTGGGGGGTGGGGAGGGTGTTACCTCGGCGAGAGGGGGGACTTCAGGTTTCCCAGTGGGGGTCAGAGGACAGGGGCCATGGTAGCAGGTGACCCTCGTTTTCAGGCCCAGGATGGGCTGAGGGGTCATCCCGTCTCCCGGGATGGGAGCAGGGGCCACCTCTGCCCCTCCCCCTGGGTTTGCTCAGGGAAATGAAACAGGGCTCCTTGCCTCCCTTTTGCGGGGTCAGGGCAAAGTTTCAGACACTGTGAGCACCCAGCCCTGGGTTGTCACCCTCGTTCTTCCGAGAAGGAAGAAGTGTCCTCTGGAGAGACTGAGGGAGACGCATGCGGTCATTCAGCTGGTCAGTGGCGCAGCAGCCCGACTCCACAGGGCTTGTGAGCTGTGCTGTGTGAACCCCCTGCTCCTGGAGCCCCCGACTTGCGTCCATGCCCAGGGTCCCCCGCCCCCCTGAGACGGCAGTTGGGGGCAGCTGGGAGCGTCGTGGGGGCTCACCCTTTCCTCTGTGCCTCTGTGTCCACCCCCGCCCCCAGGAAGAGAAAGGTGGTCTACAAGAGTGTGTGCCTGGCCCTGGCCCTGCTCGTGGCCATCACCATATTCCAGCGCAGCCTGACCCCCAGCCAGCTCCTGCAGGGCCCCCCACTGCTTACCCTGGGGCTGCAGAAGGCCCAGAAAGACAGCAGACACCCAGCGAAGTCCAACAACTTCTGGAAGAGCCCGAAGGATGTGGTCCCCTCCACAGCCCCCGCCTCAGGGGCGCCCCCGGTCTGGGATGTGACCACCACCAACTGCTCGGCCAACGTGAACCTGACCCACCAGTCCTGGTTCCGGGGCCTGGAGCCCCACTTCCAGCAGTTCCTGCTCTATCGCCACTGCCGCTACTTCCCCCTGCTGCTGAACCACCCCGAGAAGTGCGCGGGCCCCGTCTACCTGCTGGTGGTGGTCAAGTCGGTCATCACGCAGCATGACCGCCGCGAGGCCATCCGCCAGACCTGGGGCCGCGAGCAGGACTCGGCGGGCGGGCGCCGCGGGGCCGTGCGCACCCTCTTCCTGCTGGGCACAGCCGCCAAGCAGGAGGAGCGCACCCACTACCAGCAGCTGCTGGCCTACGAGGACCGGCTGTACGGCGACATCCTGCAGTGGGACTTCCTCGACAGCTTCTTCAACCTGACCCTCAAGGAGGTCCACTTCCTCAAGTGGGTGGACACCTTCTGCCCCGACGTCCCCTTCATCTTCAAGGGCGACGACGACGTGTTCGTCAACCCCACCAACCTGCTCGAGTTCCTGGCCGACCGGCGGCCGCAGGAAGACCTGTTCGTGGGCGACGTCCTACAGCACGCTCGGCCCATCCGCAGGAAGGACAACAAGTATTACATCCCCGCGGCCCTGTACAGCAAGGCCAGCTACCCGCCCTACGCCGGCGGCGGGGGCTTCCTGATGGCCGGCGGCCTGGCCCGGCGCCTGCACCACGCCTGCGCCACCCTGGAGCTCTACCCCATCGACGACGTCTTCCTGGGCATGTGCCTGGAGCTGCTGGGGGTCCAGCCCGTGCCCCACAGCGGCTTTAAGACCTTCGGCATCTCGAGGAACCACCACAGCCGCATGAACAAGGAGCCCTGCTTCTTCCGGGCCATGCTGGTCGTGCACAAGCTGCTGCCCCCAGAACTGCTGGCCATGTGGGGGCTGGTACACAGCAACCTCACCTGCTCCCGCAGGCTGCAGGTGCTCTGACCCGGCGAGGGCGGGCGAGGGCGGGCGAGGGCGGGGCCCCGCTGGTCACGGGGCTGCAGGGCCGGTCCCCAGATGAGGTGGTCCCCTGCAGGAAGGAGGGGGTCGGGCCTCTGTGCCCCGAGTGTGGGAGGTGCCGGTGGGTGCATGGGGCCTCCCTGTGCAGGCACTTTCCAGAAAATGGAGCTGGGGCCCAGGAATGTTTGGAACCGCCTGGACCAGAGGAGGTCACCCAGACTCGAGGCTGCCGGCCACCCTCCAAGCCTAGGAGGGTCGCCTGGGCTCCCTGTCACCCGGTGGGAGGCCCTGGTGGCCTCTGAACATGGAACAGGGTGGTCCCCAGGGAAAGGGGAGGTCCCAGGACCCTGTGCCCCGGTACTGGGCCAGCCATGGCCCACAGCAGCCCTCTGATCTTTACAGGGAAGAGTCTCCTTTTCCCTGAATTGCCTCAGTCTCTCCACAGGCCCCACAGGCTCCTTGAGAAGCCCAGCCCTGTGCAGGCTCACAGGCCTCTGCGCTCCTGGGGAGAGCCTCAGAAGCCCCCCCCACCGCACACGCTCCAGACCTGCCTGGCGAAGGCGCCCACCTCTTCTCCCAAGTGCTCCACTCCTGGCTGCGTCCTGGGACACTCCTTCCGGCCCTGGGCGGGAGCTAGACTGTCCACTCTGACTACCTCAGCGACCCTCAGAACCTCTGGACAGGCTGTGGGCCCCCCACCCCCTTACACAGGGCTCCACCCCCCAGCCATGGTGCTGCCGACCAGCCCGGGGCCTCCAGCACCCCGGGACCTGACTCCTTGGCGGGAAACCACCTGTTTGACCCTGGAAGTGGACAGTCCCCTCTTACTGTGAACTTTTATTTATGAATAATTTGGAGGGGGAAAGCACCAGGCCTCTCTCGTTCCGCAAGACGCCACCTCCCTCTGCCTCTCCCCCAGACCTCCACCCTACCTGTACCCCACTTCTCCAGAGCCTGAGCAGACCAGCATGTGCCCCTTGGAGGGATGGAGTGACGTCTCTTGGGATACCCCTCGGGTATAGGGGTGCAGACGTATCCCACCTCACATCTCGGGGATCCACCTGGGTAAAGACTGGGGGACTGACTGCTCAATAAAAGGGGACTGGTTTTTTCCTGGGGTGAAACTTCCAGTTGCCATTTCCATCTGCGGGCACGTGGGGGCCCAGAGACTCCCAAAGATACGCTGTTCCCCGTTCCTGGCTGGGGGGTGCACTTGGGGTGCCAGGATTAAGGCAGAGGCTAAAGTGAGGTGAAGACAGATGGCCCCAGGTGGCTGAGGAGGCTGGAGGGACCTGCAAGCTGGGAGGATGTGGGGAGGCCGCCCGGCCGGCCTGCGGGCTCCCATAGCCCTTCTGTCAACAGGGAAGCTGACAAGAAGCTTTGAGCCTGGCTCAGGGTGGGGTCCGGTGTAGGGAGGGGCTGTGCAGGGCCAGCACCTGGGGGAGGGCAGTGCCCCCTGGACAGTCACTGGGGCCAAGCCCACAGCCCCAGCCCCAGCCCTGGCTCTGCAGAGAAAGTGATGCCCCGCCATAGCCCTTCCCTGAATGCTTGCCTGGGCCTCCCCCAGACCAAGGGGGGCGGGGCTGGGTCTTGATTCCAAGGCAGCGCCTTAGAGCTCAGAAAGGACCTGAGGGCCCTCCCTGGTGGCGCAACCGGTTAAAGCAGCACAGTCAGATCCCCGGCCAGGGAGGGACCCACGTGGCGCGGCAGACGGCTCCTGACCCGCCTGCTGCTCCCCTCTGCAGTGTTGATCTGCCTGTTCTGCTCCCCACTCTGTCTCTGGTGAATGCTCTCACCCGCCCCCCACACACGTCTATCCTGTACCCCAGTTCTGTATGCAGAAATAAATTTTTAAAAAGAAGAAAGGACGCTGAGGCTAAAAACGCCATGACAGCTCCAGCTGCCTGGGTCCAAGCCCCGGAGAAGGAAGGAACATGGGGTGACTTTCTGTCTCGCCCCCCCACCCCTTCAGTCAACCAGCTGCACCCTTTGCAAAGCCCACCGCAAGATGAGAATGGCAGCCAGTCTCCCAGCCTGCTGTGCATTTTCAGTTGGCCTCAGCAGAGTGGAAAGCTGGGGCGCTTTGGAGGTGAGCGGCCGGGGCCTCCCGCGTCAGGGGCCTCAGGCTCCTCCGTCATGCACCCTCCAGAGCTCAGACCAGCGGAGGCACGTGCAGTGAGGGACCCCAGGAGGCACAGTCTGGGGACACCCAGAGGCAGGCGATCATGCAGCCTAGGCCGGGGGCAGCAAGCACTGCAGCAGCAGAGTCTGCAGGCAGGGCTTGTTCTCGGATTTGGGGTGCAGGAAGGAAGTCAGACTCCATCCTGAGAGCAGAGGGGGTGTGCGGGCTCTGGGTAGGCCCCTTGAATCAGGCTGGAAGCTGAGTGCAGGCACCACAGTCCCCTGCTTCTGCCCCCAGGGGTTCTTGTCCAACCCCCACTTCAGGGCTGGCTTTCTGCAGGCATGACGCTTCCAAAGCGGGGGAGAAACAAGATCAGGTGAGAACTCTAAAAACATGAGAACTCACACCTGGCCCCCCTTGGGACATAGGAACGAGGCTCCAGCATCGGAAGGACACGGGACATGCTTCAAGGTCCCCTCCCCACTGTCCCCTGTAACAGGGAAGTCCCTGTGACACACACCCCCCTCACCTGATCCTGGTTTCCTCAGGCTGCCTGGCCGTGTGGCCTGACTGCCCCCAAAGACAGCTCTGGTCTTTCCTCAGCACAAAGGCCATTATGGAAAGTTCCAGAACAGGCTCCTTGTGGGGCAGCAGTGTCGGGAGTGGCATGGGATGAGCGTTTATTCCAGTCCATGTGAGGCCACGAGAAGACTAGCAGCTACAACAGACGGAAAGTGCACCCCCTCTCCCCCCACAAAGGCAGTCTCCTGCTTAGAGTCAAGAACAAAGGTGTGCGCGCTGCCTATGTGCTTGGGGAAGCAGTTATTGGGGGTGTAAGGGGGGGAGTGGCGGGGCTCTGGTCTGGGGGGCTCCATTGTGCCCACTGGTCAAAGCACAGTATGTCTGGGGCTTGCCCTTGCTGAGAGGCCCTCTGTGTGACCCTAAACCTAGCTGACCAGCAGGAACTCTGGGCACCAAGGCAATATCCCCAAGAACAAAGGGGGCCAGGGATACCGCAGACTCTCCTGCTATTTGTATCTTCCTTCCCCTCTGATAGCAATAATTGCTATTTTAGGGAACATTTGCTATGCCTGGTACCATGGTAAGCACTTGATGTGTGCTGGGTATAACCTTAACTCAAAGTACAAACATGGTTCCCCATTCCTTCTTCTCACTGACCACTGAAGACCCCGAGCCTCCCTGCACCTTCACTGGCAGAAAGTTGAAGGGGAGCAGAACATTGTACCCCAAAATATGCCTCTTGGAATAAAGATGATTACTTGGCATGAGAAAGGTGGAAGGAAAGTTATTTCACCTCCCTACAAAAATCCAACATCGCCCTCTTGGAACCCGGTCACTGAGAAAACGCGAAGCTTGGCGGGTGCAAGCCGCGCCCTCCGCAGTCTGAGGCGCCCTCCGCAGTCTGAGGCGCCCTCCGCAGTCTGAGGCGCCCTCCGCAGTCTGAGGCGCCCTCCGCAGTCTGAGGCGCCCTCCGC